TGCCCAAGATTAACTTGGCGGGCAACCGATCGCGACGAAGAAGTCGTAAACTCGGATCTTACAATCCCTATGCAACGCGAAGAAAATCTCTTTTACGTCAGCGGGTGAATGTTTCGTGAATTAGAAATGCCCCGTAAATTGTCGTCGAGGGGACACTCGGAAAAGAAAGTAGAAAATAGACTAGTTGCTTTATTTTATGAGCGGAACGTCCTGTTTAAACGAAAATAATTAAAATAATAAAGCTATAGACGAAATGCCTGAAATGCCAAGGAAGGACAACAGACAGACGCCAGTTTTCAGTTTAATTTCGCCAGGTCAGAGAATATCCTGAGTAGTAACTTTACAACAGATGCAGGTAGCAATATCTCAGAAAGAAGAAATTCATTCAGTCGACCTTCATAACTCATCCGAAATTCCTACCTGTCCCTCCGAAATCCGAAATACTTTAGTTTACAAATCAACTCTAACTTGTCGTTCAATTTGCCACTCGGGCGGAACGAAGCACAAAGAAGAACGCCAAGTCGCATCCAAACGGATGTAGAAAACAGACGAATTTAGATTGCAAAGTCTTATTCAGAGTTTTTCTTTTATCCAAATTGCAAAATTTAGTTTACAACGACATGGAGGATTCGTGTGAGTCCTCCCCCTTTAAGTTCGATTGATTTAGGCTTTTAAATATATCCAAAAAAAAATCCAAAATAGGGATAATTCTTTGGGGGGGGGGGGGAGTAAGAACATAGTGAACAGATTTAGGTCGCTGACTGGGAAAATAAAGTAACGAAGAAAGAATCGCGACATCACACAGAGAGAGGCTGACTGACTTGATCAGTTCGTTATCCACCTAATCCCAGTTACACCGGCAACCTAAATCCGTTCGCCTAATCGTGCACTTGCCGTCGCAGTCCTAAACAGAAATTTTCTCCCGTCCGAAGAAGGAGATACGAACGAAGAATAATTAAATATCCGCGACATATTCAGCTAGTTCAGATCGTAACTTCCACCCTCTGTCGCGCATTGACAGTTCGTTGCGAGGTGTGAATTATTGGAAATTATTATGCATTGGCACCGTTCGACGTGACGTATCAGGTCTATTGACACCTGTTGCCCTACCCCCCCCCCAAAAAAAAAAAAAAAAAAAGAACAGAGACGCAATCAGAGGTACGAATTCGTGGTCCTATTTGATCAGTATTAACAAAAAAAGAATCGATACGCCGACATGAAAGTCAAGAATACCAGGCTCTAGATTCCAATCGGTGATCAATCCTACTTCTTGTTTCTCAGAGGGGAGAATGTCGAGAAATGACGAAATTTATGTTAATCGACGAATCGTTTGAAAATTGATATTTGTAATATTATAAATTGAAAAGAATGACGATGTTTTTTTCCTTTTATATTAAAGCCTCGATTCGTTGAAATTTTGTATTTGTCCCGTAAGAATTCTCGAAGACCAGAACCTTTTTTACCACACATTAACGCGTTTTTAATATCCGATTCAATGGTTGATATTATAAAAGAGATCGTAAAACTATCACGAAAAGAATGCTTCGGATATAAGAAATACTAGACCGAATTCTTAAGAAAACATTCAACGAAAATGATATTGCACAGTGTTAGATTCATCAGATCATCGTAAGATGAGCCAACGATCATTACAATTATTATTACGATGATTTCTTCTGATCAACGACGTGGTTTATTTTTTTACGTTCGTATTCACAAAAACGGCAATATCTTTGCTTTCTTTTTTTTTTTTTTTTTTGATTTCGCGACAAAAGAAACGTATAGTGAATTTTGAGTAACCAATCGAATTAATTCAATACCAACTACAAGATCTAATATAATGTACGCTTGGCGAGATCTACGCAAAGACTGATTATGCTGTCCAAACAGGGATCTTAATTTTTTACGACTCGACTCGTGTTCAACTAATTCTGACGAACGCACAGAAATTAGTATCATTTATTTCCTAAACCTGTAGTTTTTCTTTTTTTTTTTTTTTTTTTTGAGCAGAAATTAACATTTCCTAAACCTGTATTTTTCTTGCTAGGCCTTTCAACAAACTCGCAATTTTGTTAAATGCATCCTAAATTTAAATGTATCCTAATCACGAAGAACACATCATTGGCGTAATACTACCTGTACGTTAGATCAATAAGAGCTATTATTACAACGATTAAATTATCGCTTTTGTACCGTAAAAACGGTTTCAACAAATTTATCACCAAAAATACTGTGCAATCATGTTGATAAGTATTTAATCTTAATGATACGCGTGTTGCCAATTTATCTCGATAATATAACGAAAGCTTTCCAACGATTCGACACTCGCTTGCGTACAAGGGAAAATCATCACAATTGATCCGAATATATATTCTTCTGTACCATCATACCAATATCGAGAAGAACGAGTGTTACTAATTTCTGAGATTTCTCGATGTTAATTTTCGAAAGTTGCCAAAAGAGAAAAAACAAAATTGCAACAGAATTGAACACACACGTGCAACTGAATCGTAAAAGAAATATATACATATATACACAACATATTAGGAAATTTCTCAAAATTTTATATATATATATATATACACAAGAGTCTCGTAAAAAAAACAATCGTGTGTATGCGCATGCGTGGATGTTGATGTGGGATGTTGAAAAAAAAAAAAGAAAAAACATATTTTGTAAAAATACAAATGAAATGTATTAACATTTTAAAGAAATATATTATAAAATATTAACAAAACGCAATCACTTTTCGCAGTGTTAACACGTTCAACGACAACAGCGAGGATCATTAAAAATTATAAAACATATTTGCCGTGTCTCTCACGTTTGCACGTTTCTCTCACACGCTGGCAGAATTTTGCCGCAATGAATTCACGCATCGTTCCGTATATAACAAGAGGATGTACGTATGCATATTATGTTTCTCATACAATTTCTTAATTTTTTCGATCGAGCGCAGTCTCGCTCACCCCCCACCCTTTCTCTTCCTTTCCGAATAGTATTCGGTGTAAAAACATTGACCTGCGAAAACAAGGGCGTACACAAGCGCGTGTACGTCCTTATCACATGCATTCCCTTCGATTCCAACGATGTATGGTAACATACACGAACTGTGGTAAAAATAACACTTAGGAACGAAAATTTATTTACAACCATCGATTTCGTCATCACCGAACGAACTAATCGCGAGCTACGAATATACGAAACAAATCAATGTTTTCATTTGAACGAGAAATGAAACGAAACTCGATGCACAGGGGCATTACAATTCGAAGATATAAGTCTGCACTTCACGTTTTTTTAGCGTTTTTGGACAAAACGACTCGATTAGACGCTTTCGATTCGAACCAAATTTCTGTGCATTTGATTAGGGCTTTCTCTGTAGTAAGTTTATTATTTGGATACAGAAAAAGTATGCATTTATCGGATAACATGAAACATAACTGAACCGATGATAAAATTTTAAAACACCGTAAATTATTATTATTTATTGCGGTGAACGTTATGTACGTGAATTATATTCTTCCTCGAAGGATGAACACCATTGTTTCAAGAAAGGTGTTCAAGTGGATAAAAATTACCAAGTAGTTGAGTATAGTAATTCAAAATTTAAAATTACTATAATTACTACATACTAGCCGAAAGTTTTCAATACACGTCCCGTGTACGTAAAACACGTAGATCTTTTAATAACAGTACGGTAGACGAACTCCATTTATTCGAACCAAATTCTAGTTAATATCTGACTACGTGTTTGGACTTCATCCACCATTATGTGAAAAAAACTCCTAATTATAAATTACTTGTTTCCTAACAAGTGGAGTTGAATCGTACAGACTTTTCTGTGTCAATAGCAATTTCCTAAGAGATTTCTCTACAGAGAGAGAAATGAGTATAAACAAAGGATTCAGTTGCCGACTGAAACGTCTTTAAAAATCGAACGAAAAGCGAAAATGAAAACGTTTGTGTTAAAATTGCACGCGAGGCGATTATCGTTATATTATACACTTATAGAAAGAAAATTATACGGTTGTAGATAAACGTAGAAAGAAAAGGTAAAACATGCACGTCAATTGCAAGTTATCGAGACAAGAAAAGAAATAGCTGAAATCGTTTAAAGAAAAAAAAATTGTTAAGAAAACGAATGTGGGATCGCGTAAACGTGTGTGAAAGTTTGTTCAACTTAAATTTTTTCGTGGTTACTTTATTATTATGTTGTTACTTGTCTTTATCTGTATCAATTATATTAAATCTAACGAAACATAACATAGAAAGTAGACTGTAGCAAAAAAAAAAAAAAAAAAGATAATACCCATTATTTCGTAAATATTCACCTATTCAAATGCGTCAGAAATTCTTCGACTCGGCGTGTACGTTCGAGCAATCGTTACGCATAATAATAATAAAAATAATAATAATAATAGAAATAATAATAATAATAATAATAATAATAATAATAATAATAATAATAATAATGAAAAAGCGTGATACACAAATACGCGAAGATCGAAAAGGGAAAAATCGATTTAAACTCGCTTTAAACAAAATCATTCGGAATATGAAGAAAAGACGGGCACAATACGCGTGTACGTTTATCATAACCAAATAGAATATTAAAACAAAGAGATTTTGCCTATTCTGTTTCCGCATTTAACGCAGATTATTATGCGCTTCTAATACATATTCCGAACTGTAGCACGAACCGAATAGAACTGAACTGAACTGAACGAACGAACGAACGGAAATTACGTACAGTTGAATTTGATTTTCTTTTTTTTTTTTATTTTATTGCTACGTGCATGCATTATTTTACACCTATACGCCTTATATCTTTTCACCTCCTTCAATTCGTATACAGATTATCAACTAAGCCTAAGCGGTTTGCGATAACAGAAAAAATTCATTATAATACAACGTGTTAATCTTTATCATTCCACACGCTCGCCGCTTATTATTATTATCATCGTTTCCATCCCCCCCC